GTTTTCTGTCTTGACGCTTTGATGTCTTCCTTGGTCGACCAGGATGCTCGCCTTTTACAACCTTCCCATGTTGTTTGTACTTGGTCCAGATTTTAGACACAGCCGACTGTGAACAACCAACATCTTTTGCAACAATCCGCGATGATTTACCTTCTTTAAGAAGTTTGATAATCCTCTCCTTTGTTTCAACTGACATCTCTCGTGTTGGAGCCGTGATTCATGTCCGTCCACTCGGTGCAACAGCTCTCCAGGGTGTGAGCGCTCCTTTATAACTGCAGACTAATGAGCAGATTTAATCTGATGCAGGTGTTAGTTTTGGAAATGGAAATTTACACGGTGATTCCATCATTTTTTTCCCTCTGCTTGATCTAAAAAAGCAATTGTTATTGACTACCACAATTTTTTTTTCTTGATTTCTTTTAGTGTTTCTTAAAGCCAGAAAGTTGTTATTTTAAATGACTTTAGTTTTGTGGCACGTCTGTGATCTGCTCTTTTTCCTACAAAATTAAACAACTGAGTGAACATCCTCCAAGACTGGTGGTTCCATAGTTTTTGCCAGGGATCGTATGTTATGATCCTGGTAAATGGTAAATGATCTGCACTTATATAGGGCTTTTATCCAAAGTGCTTTACAATGTGTTTCTCATTCACCCATTCACACATTCATACACCAGTGACAACAGAGCTGCCATGCAAGGTGCTGCCTGCCATTGGGAGCAACTTCAGGTTCAGTGTCTTGCCCAAGGACACTTCGACTGTGGAGGGACGGGGGATCGAACAGCCAACCTTGCGATTGGACGACAACCGCTCAACCACCTGTGGGTCATTTATAGTATTTTGCTTGTGTTTTGCTGCATTGCCTCTCCTCAGAGTGCGTGTGTGGTTTGTGAAATTAGGAGCAGGCGGTGTCAGCTGATTGGCTTCCTCAACTGATTCGTGCCACGTGATTGGTCAGGGGGCGGGTCCCTCATCTATTTGAACAGCCCGCCAGCTGCATTCTGTCTCCTCACTTCTCCAGCTTTTCCACCACCAGGAAACACCAGCATGCCATCGTTGTCTGTGTTGTAGGAGGATGCAGCAGCAGCAACAGC